AATTAAATTTTAAAAAATTAAGATTAAACTTTTATCAATTTTTATATACAAAAAAAATACAAAAAATAAAAATAAATATAATTAAAAATCTACTTATAAGTTTAAATTTTTTAAGAAAATATTAATATAGAGAAATATTATAGGTGATATGCATTATTATAATTATGATTAATTATATGTATATATTTTATTATCATTATTATTATTTTCTACTACTATATTACAACTATATATGTTATTTAAATATTTAGAGGTAAATAAAATATATAGAAATTGATAAGAATGTTTTTGCATTTTATAAAACATATCATATAAATTTTTAGACTTAATTTGGATGTACTGGTATGTTTTATAAATGAAGGAAATTCTCTTAGAAGTTTACCATTAGCAAAAAAAATTCTATGTGTAACAATCATAATATTACATGTACAACAACCAAAAATAATTTCATTTTCTAATCAGAAAATCAATATACTTGTATATTTTTGACAATTTTTACAACTAGATATCAATTGCGAACAAAACATGTTTTCACTTATCAATCAATTTTTCTACAAGTTTCAACTATACATACAAAAATTTAATTTCAATTTTTTTCATCTTTAAAAATTAAATCTAATTTTTTCTATTTTTGTTAAATCAAAAAATCAGTGTCTAAATTTTTACTCAAATTTGAATTTATTTAAAAAATTTCATAGTTATGAAAAAGCATACTATCTCCAATCGAAAATATATTTTTTTTTTTAAAAATGACAATTAGTATACACAATTGAAACTAAAATATTTGTAGATTGATGATGTGTAATTTAAACTTCTTTGAACTTAATAAAAACATTGATGTCACCATAATAAATGGTGCTTCTATTTTGTAGAAAACTGAAATATACTATTACATATTGAATTTAAAAGCTGCACACAATTTACAATTAAAAATATTATAAAAATTATAAAAAATAAAAAAATATTAGAAAATAATTTTTCAACCTGTGATGGAAATTCTACAACTATATTTTTTTACAACATTATCTCGTAAAGATTATGTATTATTGTATAAAACTTCTTTTTTCTTTAGTATATATTTAAAATATTAATATTAAAATTAATCAAATTTTGTAATTTTACCTTATTTTCTTTAAATTTCATGACCTTTTTTTATGTATTTGCTAAGAAATGTTTAAGCATTATAAGATATTTGTAGTATAAAAAAATTAAGTTTACACAAATAAAAATTAAAGGTAATAAATTTTTATCTTATTAAAAAATTACTTTAAAAACCAATCATAGAGACAAATATGTACATAGTCATATTTGAATAATATTATTTAATAACATTAAGACTTCAGCTGTTTCTATCTTTTTAAATTTAATATACCTAAATTTGAAATTTCTAAAATTAATTAGATGTTTTTGTGATTATTTTTCTTGAAAAATTTATTAAAATAAATAAATCTAAAAACACTTATAAAAGAATATATATACTTTTATATTACTAAGAAGAAAGTAATAAAACAAAAAACATGTAAATTATATAATAGAAAGCTAGTATAATAGCTATTTTTGAATATAAAAAGTTGATAAATACAGATCTAAGATAAAAATATAAAAAAGTGGTCAAAATAAATGTAAGAGTATTTTAAAAAAATATAAGTGTATATATACATAAATTAGCTAATAAAAAAAATTATAGATGATTTTTTTGCATCACAAGATATATAGAAAAAGTATCTAAGTTGTTGAATATTTTTTTTTTGGCTTCGTAAGAGTAAAAATATTTTTAAAGAAGTTATTGTAACAATATGGTGTACTTATTTATTTAATCCATATTTAAATTATTTCTCTAATATTTTTTATATAAATAAAAAAAATTCTCATGAATTTCTATTTAATGATAATTCCTTCACTTTTACTTAAGTATTGTAGGTGAAAATAAAAATATTAAAAAATAATTATTATTTTAAAAAATAAATCAAAAGAAATTTCATCAAAATTTTAGAAAAACTAAAAGTACTAATTTATTGAAATAAAGAACTTTTTATAAGCTAAAAATATTTATAAGTTTATTTTTTAAATTAAGATAATATCTAAATTTTGAATTTTAATAATATATATAAATCTATAATTTTTTTATAATTTTGGTAAATCTCTCGTGCCTCCCACCCTCTCCTTCCTCCACCTTTTGATACTTTGATATCTTGCAAGGATCTTCTCAACTAGGAAGATGGGAGCTCAACCTAGAAACTTGGGAATTTAAGAACAAGTTCCTTGTGGTATTCACAAAGACAATATCCTATGGAGTTTAGGAGAGAGTATCAAAATATCCAAAAAAATAAGTACCAAAATATCCATATTTTATTTTAATTAGATTAATATTTATAGACTTATAAGTGGTCTTATCTTCTTTTTTTTTGATATAGTGATTATAATAATGAAATATTTATGTAATATGACAACATAATATTAATTCTTGATTTGCAAATCTATTAAGGCATATCTTACTTTGAACCCCTTCTAAACAAGATTCTTTTATTAAATTTAAAACTACATAAAAAAATAATATTTAGCTATAAATAATTAAATTTATATTTATCAAAATTTTATGCCTAAAATTATTTTAAAAAATAAATTTTATTATAAAAAATAAAATAAAATAAAATAATAAAATAAAATAATAAAATAAAATAATAAAATTGAAATAATTTAATGAAAAAATATAAAAACTAATAAAAACTTATTATTATGAGTAGAAGAAATAAAAAAGTAATGACAATGCATCTTTAGCTTCTTTTTTTAATGATATTTGAACAGCTTATAAAATCTATAAATCTTCTACTACAAAAATATAGGTTGATTCATTGAGTACTATAACAAATGTGTCGTTCTATTGTCTTGATGTATAGGTAAAAGTTTAAATACTAATAATTTATAGAATTGCAAAGAAGATTTTGAAAAAAAAAAAATTAATAAAAAAAAGATATAAAATACAACTTCTAATTATAATATAATAACAAGAAAATGCATATGTACATTAAAGTAAAAAATTCAAAAATTAAATAATTAAAAAAAAAATCTATAAACAAAATAATGTTCAAATGAATCTAAAAGTATACAATTGAAATTTATTACCAAAAAAGATAAATAAAACATGATATTTTACATATACGAAAATAAAAAGTGAACAAGTTTAAAAAATAAATATTTATAAGGAATTAATATTAATTTAAAAATTAATTAATAAAACTCTAAAAAATATTTTAAAAAAAGTACTTTTATTTATAGTACTACATATATGAATAAATATGCATATAAATGAAAACATGAAATTTTAACATGATACTTTTTAAAATTGATGTAAAATATTTCTCTATTATCATTATTATGTTTAAAAAATGCAACTGTAAAATTATGTCATTTTTTTATAAAAAATATATTTCAATTACCTATATTACTATTTAGTTAATAATTTGGCAATTTACATTGTCTTCTTGATGAGATAGATTTCTATGCGGCATTAAAGTTAGATAATTATTATAATAATAATAATAATAATAATAATAACAATAAATATTTTAAATTTTAGATTGAGATTGTATAGAATAATATTAATACTTATTTTTCAAGAATATAAAGTTTTGTAATATTGTGAGTAATTTTGGAGCATATTATATTATAAAAACTATACTATTATATTATTAAAATTTTAAAATTAATTGTTTAAACTTTAAGAAATGTCAAGGATATAACTGACATTCATAATCACCTAAGTAAGATGAGTTAGATAGAAGTAGGTAAATTATATAATATCTTCTGGAAGAAATTTATAGATGTAGAATTGATTTTATACTTGATTATATATGATTAGTAGGTTGATAACTATGCCAACAAGTTGGCCATGTAGCGCACATATAAGAAACTTGTCTTGTAAGTTAAACACATGTCAAAGATCTTATAAAACGTCACCATCTAGCTCCTAATATATATATATATATATATATATATAAGAGGTTCTTTCACTCTTGTCAATACCTTTCTTATTTTTAGTCTTGTTTCAAGAATCTCTAGTCTTTTTATCTTTGACAATAGTCATTCTAATTTTAATATTATATTATTTTTGAATGAATATCTATTCTTATCTACTAACTTTAAGAGTGTGTCGATTCTATGGTTGTTTGTGATGCATATCCTTTACAAACAAATGAAATAACTTTGGTCTATTATAAATTTTAGTTGTATTATGTACCATACTATTATATCTTCAGTTTTATATACAATGCTATACTAATAAACATATCTTTTTTATATTTCTGAAATGAACTTTTGCATGATTAAGATCCTAAAAAAATTATAATTTTTTTAAAACACACACACACACACACACACACACATATATATATATATATATATATATATATAAGAAAATGTTAAAATGACTCACCTTTTCATTAAATCGACCCACCTTACTATAACCATCATTAGAAAAATGAATTGTCTCTAAAAACCATCACTACAATTATAGTAGTCATCTCCACCTCCTTTACTCCTAATCCCTACTCCTTTTGCTCTCAACCTTCTTTATCTCTATCTTCTCTCCTTACATTCCTCTTCTTTCATTCCATATGGTAAAATGGATTGCTTTCATAAATAGATGGGACATTTGAACAATTCTACACACATATACACATATATATATATATATATATATATATGTATAAGAGAATGTTTAATACATCCAAACTTTTACTAAATTGACTCACCTATCTTAACCATCATAAAAATTAGAAAAAATAACCTCTTAATTCATATCTCCACTACTAGACTTGCAAACAATAAAAACCAACCACATTCATCATAATTATCATAGTCTCCATTATGGGCAGATAAATTTGGTAAACACCTGGGATTATTTATCATTTTCATGTATATATATATATATATACATATATGTATTAAATAGAAGAATATTTTGAATCATTGGCAAGAATGTCTTTGTATTCAAAAAAGTATGCATGATTGAAAGGATCAAATATAAATTGAGTTGAAACAAATTTGCCCACCATACTCGAAGTTGATGGGAGAGGAACATTGCCTGGAATGCTACGCTTACATTTGAGATTTCACAATCTGATCAAGAGCCAGCAGGATCGACACCGACAATAACAAGATGCGCAATCACCCTGCAAGGCAAAGGCCTGCGGGTAATTCTTCGCGATCTGTCCGATAAAGACACTCGTTACAAAGCGTGTGTGTAGACCTGAACCAATCGGCGAATCAGACGATGAAGCATGCGGACTGGTGGTATTATGGTAAACAGCTTACGAGGATATTCCGGGTGTGACAAGCCACAAGATGGCTGCTCTTAAGATCGATCTTGCAAAGTTGTTCCAACTAGTTTTCTACAGATCGGGACGGCCTAAAGAACGTATTAACCAGTTGAGATGAGCTCGCAGTTGTCGAGCTGCTGGGTAGGAAAGATCACGAGGGACACCGACTCTGTCTCTCAAGTATGCTGCTGCAACGGCAACTTGGGGTGGGAGAGTGTCGGGAGTGACAAACCCATCCAGGTTTTCTACACCCTGCACAAGCGCGTTTGCTACAAGATGAAGCCCATGACCCATTGCGTCCCTGTGCTTGTCACCATCGTTCACTCCCCGTAGTGCAAAACCGACCACCTTTTCGTGATTAGAGATCAAGGTCCTCGCCGCTTCTTCCTTGGCTCCCCCTTTTCCAGTCCCATCGTCGAATCCCCAGGCTGTCTCTTCAGGTTTTAGCGGCAATTCCCACCCCCCATCTTTCCCATCGATCTTATCTCTGTAAGCTTTGCCAGCTGGTGCTGAATAGCATGGACCAATTTGGGGCTCCAGATCGTGAGTGTGGGTGAAGTCATCGGATTTCATGGCTTGATATGAAGGTCGGGAGTCCATGGCATCAAACCACAAGTTCACAGCATTCCACCGATCATTTCCTCGCACCTTCACACCTGGCCAGTAGGGCATACTTGCCGCTGTTCTTTCCAGGAATGGCGCATACACCGCATCAACCAGAGAAAACTGTAGGCTCAACCAACTTATCCATTAGAATGAAGTAATAGTTAATCCCACATTCAACTCTTTCATATCATGAAATACGTTTCGAACAACCCGGAAGTCGGTCAATTGGTTGATCGTCATTCATGCCTCACTTGACGAAAGTGCAACAAACTTAACAGTGAAAAGTAGCACAGAATTGACCTTGCGCTCCCCTACCGTTTAACTTAGTGGACTTTTGATCATGATGCAGTGGAACACGAGGCGAAATAAGAATAGTGAAAATGCCAGGAAGTTTTGTGAGAAAGAGCCTTGACTAAAAACGTGCATCTGAAGAGACTTCCAGATTACACTCGGCTATGGCCAATGGAGAACCAGAGAGCGAGTTGGATACTACAGGTTGCCAAATTGAAGGGTGATAAGAGAGTGGACTCAATCAAGGTGGGGATTGTTCAGACACCCTTACTCCTGTAGCTTCAAGATGATAAGCATTCATTGAACTCGCAAAGTTTCTTCGTAGAAAGAAATTCACACAAGATTTGAAGAGAGTCTGACCTTACTGCCCAAGAAGTAGGGTCCGCCAAATGTTTGCAATGCCGAGTTCACTTTGTCCATGGTGTTCTCAAACGCACCCATATCGGGCCAGGAGCTTCGCAAACGATTCATCCATGCACCCGCCAAACGCCTCTCCAACCCTAACAATGAATTCACTGCAGCCAGCTCTGGTCCGCCAGCCGGTAACAAAGGATTAAACTCTGGAAACCTCTTCTCGATCAGAATCATAATATCCATGCTCTCCGTGATGATCCTCCCGTCAAGCTCTATTACTGGCAGCAAACCAGAAGGCACCATTTTCGTAAACCAGGCAGGCTTATCACCGTAACATCTCATATTGATCTTCTCCACCTGATAAGGTATTTTCTTCTCCTCCAACTGTAGCCACACCCGCTGACAATATGGACACCAGCTAGAGTTATCCCTGTAAAACGTAAGAAGCAGCTTCTGCCCATCCTCAAATACTCTTCTCTTCATATTGGGTAGCCGCTCAGGAAAATCCTCGTCATTGCCAACTATTCCAGCAAGAGCATCCCAAGATGCCAAGGTCGTCTTCTTTCCCTCACTCGACTCTACAGATGCCTCCATAGCTGTGAGCCTCACCACTCTCTCACACCTTCTGTGCTCTCCTGAAACACGCCCTTCGAATGCCGCTCGGGATTTCCACTTAACAAGACTCGATTGCAACTTCGTATTGAGATGAAGCTTGATTGATTTCCCTGTATCAAGTTGCTGGTGCCTGGACGCTGCAGCTGAAATTGATGAGACAGAAAGCCTGGAAACTGGAATGGCGCAGGCAACCAGCGATCCCACAGGTGACCGCATTCTCAAATCTCAAGGGGCTACAAATCGACAATGAGCACAATCCTCTCCTTCTACTTCAAAATCGAAGGGGACTTGTTAACGAACGAAGAGTCTAGAGCAGGCAGAAGCGGTGGAGTGACAGCAAAGATGGGCAATGTGCGCTGCAATCGATCCGAAGAATTATCCTCTTCATAGTTGTGTGCAACAGAACAAAAAAAGGGCAGGGCACATCGTGTCTGACCCATCGGTACTATCACATTTCCCAAGTGGCCGAGAGTAAATTGGTTGGGCAACGTCGCAAGCCCTCCACCACGAAATCCATATATCTTGAACCTCAAAATTGGGAAATTCATGTCCCTTGCCTCCCTGCTGTTGATACCCGGGAATACTTCATCAGCGAACAGCTTTTGACAGAATTAGGTTTCTTTCGAAGACAAAACGGAAGCGAAGTCGACGAGGATGGGGAACGAATGACCACGACGAGCGGCTTCGGTCAAACTCGAGCATGAAGAAGTTTCGGACCGACCACATTCGGGGAATGAGGAAGGACCAAGGCGCCCCTGCACCCCATGGGCCCCCTGCAAGCCACCCCAGTTGCCAGTTCTAATTGATATCTCTTTTATTCACAGAAATCCATCACTTTTCGAATTATCATCCTGTTTTCAAACTTGCCTACTCAAATATGTCGTGAATACCTTAACGCGGTTATTTGTCCGAACTCTTATTTCATTCAACAACCGTGTTAGCTGACCGAATAATCACAATGAAAAATATCTTTCATTTGAGTCAAATGACGTCCCAGCGGCATCAATACCGGTCGACTTTGATGGCAGTGTGCTGATGTAAGGACTCAGGGTACGGGCTGGTAATAAGTTCAGATGTGAGCATTTAATATCAGTTGGCGATAAATGAAACTAAATGCAAAGTAAGACCCCACAGATGTTGAAGTGGATAGCTCGTACATCATTTAAACGCACCGATCCATTCACATCAGTCCGATCTCATAGAATCACTCAACACGCTACTTTTGGGTTTCTAGCTGTTGGCTGACTGGGTTTGCAGTTTGAAGGGCATGAGGGAGTGGGAACGACCCTAGATTTACAACACTGCTGAGCATTGTATTCTACGCTTCCAGCAGTAAAGCAATTGCTGCATACTGTCCGCATCGTGTTTGTGCACACAGAATAGAGAATCGCGCAGGCAGTGCCATTTGCATAATTGTGTATACATGCACCTGGTATGATAAAAAGAGGCTACCCCAAAGGGCAAGAATGAACAATTTCTTTACAAAACTGGTGCAATACATGTGTACAATGTGAGACAATAATGCTGCTGCGGATTCCTGATCAAAACCCTACCAATAAATCAGCTCCTGGACGGTTCGTAGTGGAACCTTACCTCTGCAACCTTGATTGATCATTAGTTAATATGGTCTTGGTTCCTAGATATCCCAGACTCGGGGCGTAGATCGAGCATCTCCAGTGTGATGTGGAAAGCTTGAAACTTCCAGCACAACCGAAAGCCGTTGTTGATTTCACGACTTTGTGTTGGTCATTCACGGCTAGCGCCGCATGCCTCACGCCACTTAAGACTCCCCTTCTATGTGGTTGTGGTTGCGATGGATCTATCCACTAGGCTTCCACGTCCGCAAAGAGCTTTGATTGTAACTTTCCGGGTGGTCACAACGATCAATGAAAATTCCCTACAACAGGTTACTCTATGTCCTCCATGAATGTGGATGTCTCTCTTGCGTGCTGGGCTGGGTCCTCTAATTTCCAATGACAATATCGGACCCAATTAAATTAGCTTCGATAATAGCGGTTGATGCAAAACTAAGTTACAAGTGGCGGTGCAGGCCATTACTCTGGCGAAGAATATCATCTAGTAAACCTTGATAGGAGTTTGGGAGCAGATCATGTCCTAATATCATCTGAATTTCATGTGCCCTGCCAAGCTGAGGATCAGGAAAGGCCATGGACCCTAGCATTGTACCTTGTAACTCCGATAAACGGTCGTTGTTAAATTGGTCATTTCCGAGCAAAGGATTCTCTTTCAGAGCTTCGCTGAGCATGTTAGGATTCCTCGACAAACTGTAAAGCATTGTCATCCCCTGTGTTGCGGATAGTGATGAGCTCGCTGATGTTCCTGTTGTCGCGAAATCATGGCAAGCTTGATTGCCTTGCTGCCCTATTAGCTGAATGGATAAGTCAAATTCACTCCGCTCCCGGGAGAGGGGTTGCAATGAGAAGTTTGCAACACCAGTTCCAGGATCCTGATCAGAAAAGGGCGCCGTAGCAGAAGTATCAGAGCTCTTGGATAAGCACCCTGCCGTAGTATGGCTGAGATGGTTGTGTGTGCCCTCGTAGGTTGTGACCACAAGTCCATGGTCGTCCGCTTTCCGCTCCACCCGCTTCCTGACAGGGCAGTCCGGGTTTGTGCAGCGGTAGTAGCTCCTGCGAAAACCGAAGGAGATTCTTACGTTAGTCACAGATGCACCACTCAGGTTTGCGACGATATTTACACGAAAAGTCTTGAGGATGGAGAGGTAATCCATCAAGCACCACTCCCAAGAACTAGCCTCGCTTCAACTACAGGCTATAGCGATGGAGGCCATTGAGGGTGCATCACTTACCTAGGATACGGACTATTTTTTACAGCTTTTTGACCATACTTGCGCCACTTGTAGCCATCTTCCATGATGTCCACATCGCTGCGCGTCTGGATAGCGTATCTAGGCTTTCTCTCTCTCTTTGATTTTGCTCCTTTCTCTTTCTTGAGGTTGTTAGTCGTTCTGCAAGGAGCACACAAAAGCTGGAATCAGTGCCTTAGATAGGATTTGAAAACACGGACCGGAAAAACATAACATCAAATCAAGATGCTAAAACTAGAAGTCAACAAATTTGGAAGCATTTTCTCGTATTAGTGTAGGAGAGGTTTTACGAGGATGGATAAACAGAACTTACTGCTTTTTAGGGCTAGGTTCGCTTGGGAACTGGTTCTCTTCACTTTCATTCAAGGCACGGTCGGGCGTTTTTCTCTTGATGATGCTACCATTGTGGCTGACGCCCACTGCGGAATCGTCAGCTATACAATCGCTCACATACCCGTCTTCAGAGCTGAAAGGGGAATTCGGGGTGCTGGTCAGCGGAGAGACATCGTTCAAGCGTGTAGACGATGGTGAGCTGCCCCGCTTTGGAGACTTATCTTCATTGCTTACAGCGAGCGACGAGAGATCGAATGGATCAGAGAGGGTTTGATAACCGGCTATACATATCCCGGTGTTGTAGCTTGACGAAGGTAGACCACGCTCCTCAGGTATAGTAGCCACTGGAGAAAGATTCAAGTGCTGGAGTAGAGGATTGTAATTTGACATCAAAGCATTCGAATCTCTCGGAAACCATGGATACTCGGGCGAAGCATCTAGCAAGTCAGTTGAATCCGAGGGTGATAACGCCTCAAATGGTGTTGACTGCACATTGTTTGTCAATCCGAGGTTGCTGACAGTGTTCGGGTTAACGTTGAGACCGTGGCTTGTTTGTTGCGCAGACTGTACAGTTGTGTCGCCTACGGGAGAGGCATGTATCCAAGGCGCGGTAGGCGATGGCATGAAGAGAGACATATCAAACGGCGGAGGCGAGTTGACGAGACCTAGACAGCTCGCAAAGAAAATGGTGCTGTCACGGGGAGGAGGCGATACTGTCAAGGAGGAAGCGTTCGCTAGTTTGGTGGTTGTTTTCGTCGTATCGTTCCTCGAATTTGACAAATTCACATCCTCACCCAAGGATCTCATCAACTGTTCAATCCCGCTGCTCGAATCTGCAACTGGACGCTGGTCACTGGCGTTCTTTCTCGCCATCTCAGACATACTGTAGCCCCTGTGATAACCTTCCACAAATGTCGCCAGCTCCGAGTAATAAACAAAGCAGGTTATAGATCTTGCAGTTTTCACTTCACGCGCTTTCCAAGATTGAATGAAAGCCTTGCAACGCCTCCACAAAAATGTGTTTAAAATCAATATTACGCGCAGCACTGCTGAAGATTCTCCAAGGCCTGCGCAATATATTAGTGTAGCTACCAAAGCATGTAAGTGCAGCGGAACTTGTGCCCTTCTCCGAGGTAAAGCGTCACTTTGCTCGTGATCATGCGTTTCCTGATGAGCTCTATCAAATAAATTATCCCAGATCTCTTTTTCTAATGTATGACAGTTGTTAAGTCCTCTTTGACGTGAGTGCAACTTACTGACGTGCACACTTCACTAACTAAAAAACAGGAGATGTCACTTCTCATAACAACAGAAGACAATGGTATTGGCTTCGTGCACTGGTGCCAAAGCTATGTCTCAATCAAAAGCTCACAGAATAGCGGAGTCCAGAATCCAAAACAGCGTTCAATCTGTATCCACCAGTGCCATACTTCAATATCAAGACTCGAGCGCATCTGAAATTCCACCTGTCTACAATCCTGCTATAATTCTTCCAGCTTCGTGTGCTCATGTCCTTCTCTCACCTTGTTCTTCGCTCCAGTAATCATAAGCTTCAAAATAAGTATTCACTGCAAAACGCATAAGGCCGCTTCAAATCCACTGTGGAAGCCGGCTCCCTCAGAGAAAAGAAAAAAGCCCGAAGCAGTAATCTGACAACGTAGTTCTGTCAAAGGAGCAGACAATTTGAAAGAAATTGACTAAACTGCACTCTAGGAGCGCTAGAACTCGCTTGATCAACTACCAACATGGTTGCTACAAGAATTTCTCAAGAAAATTATCGTTCGGTGCACTGAAGTATCAGGGAAAAGTATGACAGCGATTGCCCACATGTGAACTCCAATTCGGTCGTGATGGGAAAAGCGAAGAAAGCTTGTGATAACTTGCCGCTCGCGGGCTTGTGTTTTTTATCAAGGGGACAGAGGAGCGGTGGGATGCAGCGTTTAGAAGGACAAAGCACTAAGGCAGCTTTGTCGATCTTGTAGGCAAACCAAGCCAAGAGGAAAGAGAAATTAATGCCGGAGCCTGCGGATTGGGTGTCCTTGGCCATACGCCCTCGATCATTCGCTCTCGTATCCGGCCCATTGCCTCTGACCACCAGCTGACTTTGAAAAGGGACGACAAAGTCTTCACCACTAAGCGAAGAAAACCGCGGAAACTTGGCCCCTCCAACGTTCCGGTCAGAAAAAGGACGTTCCAACGCAAGGACCCACTCAGTACCTTGCAGTCGGTAGTTTCCGACATACTTCGCCTGTAGAGTTAGAGCCTCGACCAGTGATGCGACCTACTCATTCGAGGGGCATGAGTCAAAGGCCTCCCCCGGTGCAGCCTCTGACCCCTTATACGGTACCTATCATGGCCTACACGGGACTCTGATCCTAGTTGCCCTCTCTCTCGCTTTCTACTCGCTTCCTTTTCTTTAGCATTACAGTGTTCCAACGGAAAATCGACAATATATCATTCATCCGATGCCTCTGTTGAGCCCCTCTCCCTTGTTTCAGAAGCTAGGCCGGTTACAAAAGGGTTTGCCTCTCAGTGTGAAAACAAAGCGGAGGCACTGAGAAGTACTTGGAGGCTGACAGGGTGTAAGGGCAGGCACCTGGCCCATAAGGCAATCCCTTGACGGTGGTGTGTGTGTGTATGCACACCATGATGACCAGTATTGGAGCAGAAGTAATCACAAACTCAGGGGTATATTAAAATGTCGGTTTCTCACAGTCAGGAAAGATCGGGTTTCATTCTGTATCATAAAGACTTCCCTCTCGCAGCTCTCAGCCTCTTTCCAATCTTCTCAATAGGAGACCTCTTCATGTCCCTCAACTTCATCCTCACCTACAGCTTTGCATGCATATGGAAGAGTTTCGCTGAAACAACATGAACTGTTCAACGTAGTGACTTCTTGTGAGATTTCTCTTGAAAAGCTGTGACAAATATCACAGCATGGATAAGGATAAGAAGGCCACCAAAATAACCATTCTAGAGTAAAGCAAAGGAGAAGACATCTATCTATAGGAATGAATCCTTCAACTCCAAGCAAGAACAAACATGAGGGCATCCTTTATTTTTACCAAACCTTGTAACCAATCAGAAATGTTGGTTGAAAAAAAAAACCTTTTTTTTTACAAAATGCCAACTCAACATGCCCCACATCCATAATGGCAACTATTCAACCATATTTTTGATAGAATCCAAGATAAGTAGTGCATATAGCAATAGTATACTACTCATTGTTATAGACATCCCACAAGAAGATTTTGAGAATATTTTAAGAATATTCTATTAGATTCCAAAAGTTATAAAAGATTTTTAGAATATTCTAATATGAGGTTTAGAAAAACTCTAAAAATTTTAGAAGATTCTAAAAATATTCTAACACATTCTAAAAAGTTCTATAAGAATTGAGGAAGTTCTTCCTAACTTTCTTATTGAAACTCCTTTATTCAACTTCTTATTTGGTCTTCTGTGTAATTTATTTGTGATAGTTTGTCCAAATCCACTCTCTTAGCAATACTGGAACTTGATCCTTCTTCATAGAGAGTAGATTATCTTTTTTTCTTGAAGACATCTAAGCACTTTAGAGATTGCAGATTATCCTCTTTTAAATTGATATTGTTAAAAAAATTCTTTTTTTTCTTTCATGATAGTTGGAGATAAAGATGTTACTATAGTTGAATCTCTCAAGTCCAAATTAGATGTTATTATGAATATGTTGAATGCTTTATCTCATAGAATCATTGAAATTGAAGGATTTTTAGCAAGATTTCATCATTATGTAAAACTTGGAGCAGTTCAACTTGTGATGCAACCACTTTCTTAAGCTTCTATATCCAAGGAGATGGCAGCACCTATATCTCAAGAAAAAAAAAAAAAAAAAAAAAAACACCTATTCAATAATATAAGGAGGCTTTGATTAATCTTCCAAAAAAGTATGATGGCACATGCTCCAAGTTTCAAGGATTTGTTAACCAAATTTGATTGATAACTTTTCTACAATCTAAGTGCTATCCAACAAAGAAATTGCAAGTTGGTTCAAATAGAACATTGCTCACATAACAAGCCTTATCTTGATTTACTCTTTTATTTGAAAAGAATTCTCAAATCTTGAGAAATTTCAAGCATTTGCAAAGACATTTGGAGAATATGACAAAGCTCAATGGACAACAATAAAGATTTATTTATTACATCAAAGATCACATTTTACAACAATTTATGCATTTAATTTTAGGCAATTGGCTTGTAATATCAATTGAGAGCCAATTCTATTATAGACTAAGCTCTTATGAGCCAATTCTATTATAAACTAAGAAATGATGTGAAAGATCTATTATTATGATTACTTAATCTTTAAATACTCAATCAAGCTATCAACCAAGCTATAAAGTATGATAATTGATTATATTAATGCCATTAAGATCAATGTTTGTAGACTTTCAAAAAGTAATGCATTAAAAATTCGTACTTTGTTGCTTCAACAAATATATTACTTCTATATTTTGGAATTGAAGATATGTAAATTGATACAATATGGTTCAAACTTCTTATAGTAGAAGAAAAAAAGAGTCAATTTGAACAATATCTATGCTTGTAATATAGTAGAAAAGGCCACAAATCTGAGAATTATCTAAAGAAACAATATACAACTAGAACTATAAGTATAATCATTCAAGAAAATAAAAAAGTCCAACTACAATAAAAACAATGTGGCTATACATTTCAATACCTCAAATTCATCAAGGTCCGTCTTTTCCTACTTAACTTGCTTATTGTTTCATTGCATTTTTATTTTTTGGCTCACAAAAACTTCAAATAAATGCCTTATTAGATTCAAGAGTATTTGCTTACTTTTTAAATGAAGAGTATTTTAAACTACATAAAAAAAATTCTAATACAAAAGTAAAAATCTATACATATAAAAGTAATAGATAGTCGATCTTTATCTTCAAGCAATATTATTCATGAGACCATATTACTAAAAATACTTATTTGGAGATCATAATAAAAAAAACTATTTAATATTATTAGAATCTTATTCAATCTTATCATTCTAAGACTTTTGTAGTTGAAAAGATATAATCTATCTATAAATTAAAATTTTCATAAGGTCAAATTTCCTATAAAATCTCTTTGGAAAAAATCTATCAAGATGTCATCAATAAAAAAAAAATTATTTCTTGAAGTAAGGGCTTTCATGAAGACGGCTAACAAAGAAATGCTATTTGTCATTTATGCTACTCCAACTCATGAAGAAGCAAGTTCACTAGTAGCTATTCAAAGGAAATATAAAGAGTTTCAAGATGTCTTCAAAAATAAAAATATTAATATATTGTTTGAGCATCAAAATTTGTGCCATTGATCTTTAAGAAGGAGCTTAACTACTATTTGGCTCAATCTACAACCTATCACAAAATGAATTTTTGGCATTGAAAGATTACATTGACAAAACTCTTGTAAAGAATTTTATTTGGCATTCCAAATCTCTACCAAATGCAACAATATTTTTTGTAAGGAAAAAGATAGATCTTTGTAAATGTGTATTGATTATTGTGGTCTTAAAAAAATAAAAATGAAGAATCATTATTCATTATCATCAATACCAGGGCTTTTATAATAACTTGGTTAAGCCAAGATCTACACCAAAATAGATCTTCATAGAGCGTATAATTTCGTAGGAATTAAAAAAAGAGATAAATAGAAGATAATATTTTTGACAAGATATGGATATTTTGAATATAAAGTTATTCCTTTTGGATTGACAAATGTTCCAACTTTATTCAAATATTTGATGAATGATGTCTTTTGAAAATTCTTAGATAAGTTTGTTGTTTGTTATCTTCATGATTTTTTAATCTATTCCAAGTCTCTTGAAGAACATGTATAATATATGAGATTATTCTTGCAAAAATTATAAGATATAAGTTTATATGCCAAATTAGAGAAATATATATTCCATCAATTAAAAGTAGAATTTCTTAGATATATTATATCCAATGAAGGCTTGTTAATAGAGCTAAAGAAAGTTCAAGTAATAATGAAATAAACAACTTTAAAGATAATATGGCATATATAATATTTTTTAAAATTTTCTAATTTCTATTGAATATTTATTAAAAATTACTCCTAAGTTATTGTTGCTTTCACTTAGTTGACATCCAAAGACAAATTAGAATGGAAACTTCTAGTACAAAGGAGTAATCAAGATTTGAAAGCTGCTTTTACTGCAACTCCAATCTTAAGGCATCCAAATTTCATGAAGGCCTTTTATTTGGAGAGTAATACTTTTGACTTTAGATTAAGAGTTGTACTATTACAGATGAGAAAAGATGGAAAGCTTTATCAAACTGCATTCTATTCTAAAAAAATTTTAACTATGAAGTTTAATTATGAGATTCACAATAAAGAACTTTTTATAATTATAAACTATTTTTAAGAATGGCGTCACTTGCTAGAAGGTACTACACATATTGTAACTATATATATAGATCAAAAAAACTTTGAATATTTCATTTTAGCTTGGATTTTGAATTATTTTCAAGCTTATTAGAATGTATCATTATTTTTTTTTATTTTGAAATTACATATCAACCAAAGAAGCAGCAAAGACTATCAAATGTGTTATCAAAGAGATCATATCTTATTCCAAAGGTCAAAGAAGCAACATTTGATTACCAATATACCACTCTCTTAAATCTAAAATAATTTTATTTTTGTGCTACTTCTATAATTATACTTGTTGATTTAATAATATAAAAATTTATGGATAATCTTTTATATTTTAAAGAATGTTTATATATTTTAGAAGAATTGATGCAACTTTGTATTTTTCAATCTTATCATAATTTTCAAGCTATAAGATATTTTTGGATTAAAAAAACATTGGAACTTATCTCTCAAGATTTCTAATGGCCTCAAATGTAAAAGACTGTAAAGAACTTTATTCTCTTGTGTAATATTTATTCAAGATCCAAAAAT